CACTGTCAAAACTAGTCACTGACCACATGGATGCCTTTTATTGAACAAACAGGCTAGACACTCTAGAAAGTATGCATTTTCTTTCTTTTGCTGGAGCACTAGGAGAGCTTGGGGAGCCAGTGAAAAAATTGTGGGTATCTCTACCAGTGAACCAGCACCATTGCTGACTTACTGTTTCTCTGTCTTTCCTACCCTTTCCACTGGTTTCTGGTTCTCTTTTAAGACATTGGTTCTCTTCTAAGACTAAGCCATAGATGTGGCTTCTTTCTATAGATACCTACTCTCAGTGTCCCAGATGTCCACTGACCATATTCCACAATCCCCAGAAATAAATATTTTTTACAACACCATTGTAAACACCCACAGTACAATTAGCTACTACATATTTGAGATGTTTCTTTTCAATGTTAAAACAGATTGGTATCTCTGTGACTAAAATATACATGAAAAATTGTAAGTACTATATCATTTTGAAAACAATTTCAAAATGTTATCTTTTGCCAAGGGTTAGTGTGAAATTGCACTGTCCAATGAAGAGGCTGGCCCAAATTAATGACTTGGGAAAAGTACACTGAAACCCAAGTTTTATCTTTATAAAATAAAACTATGAAAATAAATTTGATTAAGCTGCTAAAATATGTCTATGTATTAAACAATACTATTTGCAATTATGTTTTGCTAGTGTATCATCAAAAGACCAAAAAGTGAGTAAACTCTTCCAAAAGCTGTAATTATGGCATTTTAGATTTTTAGAATCTTGACTAACAAATAGCAGATTAAAAATAATTTGCATGATTATGGAAAATAATTTTTGAAACATTACTCACATGAAAGACTTTAGAATGGGGACTAAAATAAAGCATTTTAAGATTTTGAGAAAATTATTTCTTTTAAATGACTAAAATAATCTCTTAAGTCTTGGTATCATTTATTTTTTATTTTATTATTTTATTTATTTACTTTATTTGTTTGTTTATTTATACAAGCACTGGGTACAGTCAGAAGCGCGGGAAGGTGAGAGAATTCACCAGAGCCAGAGCGGGGAGCAGAGCAGGCAGAAGGACGGAAGTACACTGCTGAGGGGAGCAGCGGGCGGCAGGAGAGGTCTGTGCGCCATGTGGGACCCTCCTCTGGTGGCCAGGGAGTGGCCGGGGAGCAGCCGGGGATCGAACCGGCGCCACGGAGGCCGCAGGCAGCATCGCAACCCAGCGCTCAACCGCTGCACCACCAGGGAGGCCCTATTTTTTATTTTATTTTTAATGAAACAGACTGAGACCAGTTCACTCTTTGAAGGAGCCTCTGCACATTAAACAAATATAAAGATCTGGGAAAGGAAATTTTTTTTCAGTATAGCAATTCTCAAAAATAACAAACACCGACAATCAGAAATAGAATGAGATTCAAAAAACAGGGTTGAAACTTCCGATCTATTGGGCTTTGTATCCAACAGAAGGCAGAGTAAATAGTAAACAGTAGGAACTGAAAATGCCTCAATTAGGTGGATACTGAATCTGAATTCACTATTTGAATCCAGGTCTATGAAGGGAGTCAATGAAAAGCTCTAACACTTCCAAGGATATAACTTATATAAAGAGGCATATCTAAGGACATGGGGGGAAAAAGAAAATCTTAATACTGAAGGCTGCTAAGCTGCTTGCTAGGACATGACTTGATCTGAATTTCTCCACTATCCCCATAAGATTAAAGAGCTAAACTGGCAATGTAAGATCTGGTTATACATCTGGAACTACAAGGACAAAAGCAAGACACCTGAAGCTACAGACAAGGGAAATAAGAGCAAAGAGAAGGGATGTAGGAGAGATAAATATTATCATAGATGGGCCTGCAAACCAAAATTTCAAAACTAATGAGGAAAAAAATGCTAAATACAAAATGCTAAAGAAAAAAATGAAAAATCTAGAGATTATAACTTTAGATACAATACAAAATAATAAATCTAAGATGACTTTTTTAAAAACCTGTTATAGATTATCAAAGGCAAAAGAGAAAGCAAACCATGCAATGCAAAAGCAAAAGATTATGAAAAACAATTGCAACCAAATACCAAGTATCAAAAAGGTAATCACTGAAATTAAAAACTAAGATTGTTAAAAAGGGACACTGCCAAAGGAAATATTAGCGTATTTTCTTATCATCGCAAAGAACTCATAACACATGAGCCAGTAAAACAGGAATAAACACACACAAACACACTCACTCACACACACACACACACACACACCGGTTCAAAACAGATGTCATGACAGATTAAGGGAGAGGACCAAATTTATCTCTAACAGAAATGCAGAAGACAACTGAGGAAGTATTAGGAAAACAATATCTAAGAAGACTGGAAATACTCTAGCACAAGAAGAAAACATAATTTTTCAGATGGAATGTACACCTGGAGGATAAACAGGATAAATGAAAATTAAACACTGTAGCAATGCATTGGAGTGATGCAATGGTAGTATAGTTCAGTACTAAATAATAGCAACAACAAATAACCGGTGCAAGAATAACTAACAAAAAACATTTCACATTCAGAAATGTATTCAGAGAGGCCTCATTCTCCCTACTAAATCCAATCCATTCAAATGTTCAACATATTCCTTTTTAATTGAAGTAACACTGACGTACAATGTTGTTTGTGTTTTAAAAGTATAGGATCTCTCTCTTCAGGTGATGTTACTACACCACACCCACTACCCCGGCACCCATAATCCACCACCATAATCCATTATGCTCCCTTCCCACTTTGTTCTCTCTACCCACCCCTCTTCCTCTGGTAACCTCAGTTCTACAGTCAGAATTCCAGGGTTTGTTACTAGTTTGGCTTTATCTCACCTTTTGTTTGGTTTCTCTTTCCTCCACACAAAAAAGAAACCACCTGGCATTCATCTTTTTCTGACTTATTTCAATTAGCATAATTTCCTCTAGCTCCACCCATATTGTTGTTGCAGATGACAAGTTTCATCTTTTTTAATAGCTGAGTAATATTCCACTATGTATATCTGCCACATCTTCCAGAGCCACTCATCTGTTTTGGGGTACCTAGGTAGTTTCCATATTCTGGCTATCGTAAATAGTGTTGCAATGTACACAGAAATGCCTATTTCCTTTCTAGTGATTTTATATTATTCAGGTAGATAGCTAGGAGTGGAACTGGCTGGATCATATGGTAGACTCACTTTTTTCTCTTTTCAGAAACCTCCATATTGTTTTCCATAAGAGTTTCCCCACCAACAGTGTGTGGGATTCTTTTTTCTCCACATCCTCACAAGCACTTGTTATTTTTGGTCTTTCTGATGTGGACCATTCTCACATGTATGATGTGGTATTTCATTAGAATAAAAAATTTGCCCGCTGAATTAATATAACTCAATTATTAGAAACATAAAGTTTATGTTTTAAAAGAAAATGTAGGGCCTCCCCTGGTGGTACAGGCGGTTGAGCGCAGCTCTGTGAAGCTGTCCGCAGCCTCTGCAGCGCGGCCACCCTGCGAGGATCCCACATGGCATGGCAGGCCTCTCTTGTCCTGCCCGCTGCTCCCCTCAGCAGTGTGTTTCAGTCAGTCTGCCTGTTCTGTTCCCTGCTGTCTCTTATGAATCCTCTCACCCTCCCGCGCATCTGGCCTGTACCCCCGTTCTTGTATAAATAAATAAATCTTAAAAAAAAAGAAAAAGAAAAAAGAAAAGAAAATGTAAAAGAATATACTGATGGGGTTAGGATATGGGGAAAATATTCTTAAACCACATCTCTCCAACAAATGTGAGAGTAAAGCAATCTTTTTCACTGGGCTAGATAAGCAATTAAAGAATCAGCAAGTACCATCTGACTGGTTTCTTTCTTTCAATTTTTTCTATTTAGATTACTAATTCTGAAAGAATCAAATAAAGTTTCACCCAGAGAGAAATCATGTCTCATTTGGGAAAAATTTTAAACCATCTTGGCCATGAAGATTTGGAGCCTTCTAAGTAAACACTGAATTCCATCTAAAGGTAATTCATACTGTGCGAAGTTCAGACTCCTGGCAATAGGAGAGGCAAATAAATTTGATACCTTCCCCTCCGTTTTGACCTCTGTAGGGTAAGGAAAAAGTATCAGGCTTTTCTGCCCTCCGCCATTAGGATAGATGAGGGAACCCTGTGATCCTGAATGCATGCCTGATGGCGGGCACCTGGAGTGGGTGCACCTGGCCTAAGACTGGGCTTTTAGGGGCGGCAGCATGGGAACGCCAGCAGAAGAGGGGGGAAGAGGGAGAGAGAGGGAGGGGGGAGGGAGAGGGTGAGAAGGGATGAGGGGGAGAGGCAGAGAAAGAGGGGGACAGAGATAGGGAGGGAGAAAGGGGTAGGGAGGGAGGGGTAAGAGGAGAGAGGGAGGGGGAGGGAGAGAGACAGAGGTGGGGGAGAGAGAGGGGGGGAGGAGGGAGCTCATAGATAGAGTGAAAACTTGCTGGAGGCTGGGAGGACTGCCAGCCTCCCGGCCCCCAGCCCCCCTGCCTGCCATATGCCTGGTAAATCTAAATAAAAGACCTGCAAAAGCCACTGAGGACTCTGACTCCTCCTTTACCCGGTCCGCTGGATCAGAAAACCAGCTCTGTCCCTACAACCTCCTTTTGCTCAGGCTTCCCCAGGTTTCCACAACAGGAAACTTGCCATGTTTTTCACTCCAGGAGCGTCTCTGGCTTGGAGAACTCTGGCGCGCCTGGAGAGGTCACGGAAGCTCTGAACCCTGACCCACATACCTCGAGATAATCATCTCTTCAGCTGGCTTTTGATTTCCACATGTTCAAGGACTCGCCTTTCCCAAGAAGATCTTGGTCCGAAATGGTTGCGGCGTCCTGCTGACCAGAGGACCCAGCAAGGGAGAGGGTGGGGGGAGATGCCAGGTCAGTGACCCCAGGTAACTGCACTTGCGCCTGCGCAGTGGCCACGGCCTACTGCGCTGCGGCCGCCGGTTCCCGCGGCTCCTCCTTGCGCGCTGTGGAGAGTCTGACTGTGCAGCCGCCGGAACGGCCTCACCTTGACTTCGGTGGTTCAACCATGGCGTTGGAACCATTACTTTCAACACCACAGCTTTCATTCAAAACATGATGGTTACATTTGCTGCCAGACCAACAACCCAAGTTGTTGGAAAGAAGATGCTGAAAACGAATTCACACAAGACTGATTCAGGTGCGGGATATTCCCACAGGCCCAATCAACACAATACAGTAAAGCTGAGAACTTTTCAGGCTCAGGAAGCGTCGGTGTCCGATATTGGCAGCTTTAGCCGGCAGATGGCAGAATTAGTCGAAACTGACACAGCTGGACTTTGACTTGGGTGGGAGACCACGCCACAGTATGTTTTCCACCACTGGATATGAGGGCTAACAAGGGAATCAGTCATTGCCTGAAGAACCCTTCAGTTGTTCATCCTAAAACAGCTCACCTTTCTGTGCCTGTTGATTTAAAGAAAGTGGGTCAATTTGAACCTTTCTTGTTCCAACCATACTTTTATCTGGCATGATTCGAAACCATCTCCACTAATGAAGACGAAATTGACGCTGAGTCTGCTACCAAGCATAGAATTAGAAATTCCCAATGCGGGTATCCTCTACCTTCATTCAAGAACCAAGTACTTCAGGAGCTATTTAATAAATAGGGCCAAACCTTGTATGTTTCGCCTAATGCTCAAGGCGAAAATTCCTTTTTTTGAGAAATAATTATGTTGAAAAGGTTCCTGAGACTACCAAAAGAGTTTCAGGTTTCCTGGAAGCAGCGATAATGGGAGGAATAAGTGGATTCAGCTAAATCTATAAAACTTTATGTTAAACATTAAGAAGATTCTAAGATCTCCTACATGAATTCTCAATTCTACTTGCCAAGTGTAGAGGTAAGTGAGCAGCAATATGCCCAAGACTTTAATCTGAGTTCATCAGTTACAGTATTCAAAAGTTCTGTGAATATTCTAGGTAAATAAGGGCTTTGTCCTTAGGTGTTGTTTAAGGTAATTAGCCCTGGAGTATATAATTCAGGCACATCCTAATTTTGCTTACTGATATTTTTATTGGTAATACCACACACTACTACCCATTTTTTAAAATTCATTTTCAACTAAGTATTTTAACCTACTGTAAGGCAGGACAGGCCACAGTGCAGGTTTTCTGATCCCATGCAGACCGGGTAAAGGAGGAGTCAGAGTCCTCAGTAGTTTTGCAGGTTTTTTATTTGGGGTTCGCCAGGCATATGGCAGGCAGGGGTGCTGGCTGGGGGGCTGGGAGGCTGGCAGGCCTCCCAGCCCCCAGCAAGTCTTCACTCTATCTGGGCTTTCTAGTGTTCGTTCTGCTGCTTCTCGGCTTCTCTTTCGGCTTCGGCTTCTGTTGCTGCTACTTCGGCTTCTACTGCTGCTGCTGCTGCGGCTGCTGCTGCTGGCGTCCCCGTGACGCCGCCCTTAAAAAAGCACAGTCTTAGCTCAGCTGAATCCCATCTACCTAGGCCCACACCCTATTCCAGGTGCCCGCCATCAGGCATGCATTCAGGACAAGGATCCATCATCTATCCTGATGGCGGAAGGGCAGAAAAGCCTGATATTTTCTTTACCCTACACCTGCCAAAACTTTAATTCAAAAGACAAGAGTTGGGCCTCCCCGGTGGCGCAGCGGTTGAGCTCTGGGTTGCTAAGCTGCCTGCAGCCTCTGCAGCGCTGGTTGGATCCCCGGCTGCTCCCCGGTCACTGGAGGAGGGTCCCAAATGGCGCGCAGACCTCTCCTGCCGCCCGCTGCTCCCCTCAGCAGTGTGCTTCGGTCCTTCTGCCTGCTCTGCTCCCCGCTCTGGCTCTGGTGAATTCTCTCACCCTCCCGCGCTCCTGACTGTACCCAGTGCTTGTATAAATAAATAAATAAATCTTACAAAAAAAAAAAAAAAGACAAGAGTTACCATATTACAATATTTGGGTTTAGTATTTGTAACTATTGCAGTTGTAGCTCCTAACTCCTTCCCTGAGAGAACAATTGGATTAGTCTACCACAAATAAGCTTAGGGGAAAAAAATAACCTACTTCAACATGAAACCTTTTAAGCACTGGTACTTTTCATATATCTAGACACTTTAGCTTTAAAACAATTTTCTCTTCCATGTTTGATTTCTTGTAATAGATTTTGAAAATGTCAGATTTCTTTTCCCTGGTTTTACAACCAATCTAAACCAGTCCTTCTGTTCTATCTTCTGGAGAATGTTGAGAAACAAGCTACTTATGAAAATTTTCCTTCATTTGCATTTTCTTTAGCATTGTTTAAATATATAGATACATAGTCTTTTTTCCGTTTATCTTTTAGTTTATGTGAAATAGACTAAAGCAGTTAACAAACTGAAATGCCTTCCATTTCTTTCTTTTCTACTTTTCAAAGATATGTTAACGACTATTGTGCACAAAAAAAAACCACTCTGGATTTTAGTCTGTATATGAATATCGAGACAATAGCACAATAAACTACAACCTAAAGTAGGGTTGATTTGGGGAGAAAAAAACGATGTGTCCTTTAGGATAAGCAATAAGTGAAATTTTAGCGCCACCTAGGGTGCTATACTGGTATGACACCTTGGAAATAGAAGCATTCCTCTTTGGCAAGACATGCATTAGGCAACTAGGCTGGGCACTGATCAGATCAGGTATAGTTAGGGATATTCTGAGTTACTGTCCTGAAGAACAGCCATGGAAAATAAACCATTCTTAGATTTAAGGAATTTACCAAATATATACAGATCCATTCAACGGAAGTACTCATTCATATGTCAGTTTTAAAAATATTAAGGTTTGAGTGATAGAAATCCTGATTTGATGGAAATAGCAAAGAATTTGTGATGGAAGTCAGGGTGGTAATAACATCTTGGAATAAGACAGTTCATGTGCATCTAAAGATAATTTTATATGCATAAATTAGGTCATTATCGTGCTTTGGTTTTTGTTTGAATCTATTTTTTAAATGAATCTATTTTTATTGTATCAAAATATATTGGCATGAGAAGAAGAAGAATGACAATAGTATTTACAATTACTATTGCAGCTGTCATTTTGGTGGTACATTTCTATTGGTCATAAACTTTATGTAGTGTTTTGATGTAATTTTTCATTTATGCTCAACAGCCCTGTGAAATAGATACTGATATTATTACCTTTTTAGCTGGATAAATTGGGGTTTAGACACTTAAGAGACTTATCTAGTGTTCTCTTTGGAGTTGCAGTTTGAAATTTGAAGTCATGTCTGATGAGTTCAAGTTCTAAACCATTCCATAGAAATACTTGGAAGTCAAGGTTTCATACAACTAGCTCCTGAAGGCATTTTCCCTGGATTTAGAGAACTATTTCCCCATGTTTATGTTTCTATAAAGGCACTTCCACTCCATTTCCCAGGAAGGAATACCTCAACTCATCCTTTACCACCTAGTCCTAGTATCAGGTTCTCCCCATGGTAGAAGTGAACATCCCCATTAAGTCTGTCTGTCATTTCCTGAGTCTCATTAACATGAGGTTAGGACCCAAACATTATAATTAATTACCATGGCTCCAACTCTCTTTTCCCTTGGAAAGAACCATATCCTGGCACAGCAAATCTTTGCTCTTAACAATTCCATAGAGTAAGCTGAAGAAGCCAGGCTTGTTGCAGGTCCAGCTTTTCACCTGGTGTATGATAGGTAGGTTGGAGACTAGAAGATCTCAGTTTCTAGGATCAGCATACAGGCAGAAAGATTCTGTTATACTCTTCAATTCAGCTAGTAAAAAAATCTGCACCTATTTTAATACTTCCTGGCTCTTGCTCTTTGTCTGACATCAATTGATTAAGTTCCCACAGATTGGAAGAGTGATTAACTAGGTTCATTCAAACCTCTTGACTATGGGAAGCATTGAAATTACAATACAAGCCTAAGGCTATTTTAGAGCAAGTCCAGGTTGTTTCTGGAATGATCTCATTTGCCTAGAATATACCCAATGGCAGAGTAAGTCTAAAGCCTACTGAATTTTCCTCCATTTGACAAATCATTAAATGTGCTTCTTAAATGATTGCCTATAATGAAGTTAATGGAAGACTAACAAATTACAGTCTTGTCATGAAACAGGGTGGAACTGAACCTAATGAGACAATGTGAAATTGCAAAGAACTGCAGAATGAATTACAGGGGTCAATGGTAGTTGTCACTTAAATGAACTGTTTGACTTGATGAAGTTCAACTGCAAAGTGATGATTGATGTAAGAACAAGTACATAGAAGGAAAGATAGTTACCAATTCTCTGTTTTCATGGAGTTTAAATGATCATACTTATGTGAAGAATTTAATTTAGACTCAAGGATACAGTCTTTTTTTTTTTAAGATTTTTTTATTTTATTTATTTATGCAAGCACTGGGTACAGTCAGAAACACGGGAGGGTGAGAGAATTCACCAGAGGCAGAGCAGAGAGCAGAGCAGGCAGACTGACGAATACACTGCTGAGGGGAGCAGCGAGCGGCAGGAGAGGTCTGCGCGCCATGTGGGACCCTCTCCTGGTGGCAGGGGATTGAACCGGCATTGAACCAGCTTCACAACCCAGCGCTCAACCGCTGCGCCACCAGGGAGGCCCACAAGGATACAGTCTTTAACTGAAAAAAATGATGGCAGGCCAATAAGTTATTGAGATGAGAAAAAACTAATCTGTCTATGACATTTTATTTTTTTAAAGATTTATATTTTTTTTTATTTATACAAGAACTGGGGTACAGGCCAGAAGTGTGGGAGGGTGAGAGTGTTATAGGACAGGGAGAGGGGCAGCCCAAACCCCGCAAACCTGCCTATTCTAAATGGGTTCTGTCATCCGCCGCATCAACATAAAACATATGAGACTTTAATGGGAAGGAACTTTAATAAAACTAGGAAACAATACAGGTAAGGCAAAGAGTCTAGTTTCTAAATGAAGCACCCAAAGTTACCCGTCCCCTCGTGGGTAAAAGTCCATCCAAATGGGATTGGCCCAGAGCAAAGCCCCAAAGCCTGCCACAAGTCTAAAGCATCTTCCAGTGGGGACCCACAGCAAAGGGTCAGAAATAACCAGACAAGCCCGGAAGGAAAAGAGCAAAATCAACATCAAGATAAAAACTGCCATTGTCACCTTCCCATGGGTCTCACCCACATCTGTGTCACCCAGTCTACGACCAAAAGACAAGCACAGTTTCTTCATGTGTCTCTAGGCTCCATGCGCCTCCTCCAGGTCTCCTGGCTCCATTCTGCTTTCTTTCTCAGTCTCTTCTTCTGCTTCTCCTCTTCCTGCTCCGCTCCACCCTTCCTTGGGTGGGGCAGGGAAGCTGGAACCTCCCCCTTTCCTGGGGACCACCCTGTTACAAGAGGATTCACCAGAGACAGAGCAGGAAACAGAACAGGCAGAAGGACCGAAATACACTTCTGAGGGGAGCAGTGGGCGAAACAGGAGAGGTCTGCTTCGCCATGTGGGATTCTCACTGGCCGGCCAGGATTGAACCCGTGCTGCAGAGGCTGCGGACAGCTTCACAGTGCAGGCACTCAACTACCTGCACCACCAGGGAGGCCCTGTCTATAACATTTTAAACGACTCTTTTTAGATTCTAAAAGTCTTGCCTAAACCTATGACACGGGACACTCATCAGAACTATGCTTTCATGCCATGAGGCAGAAATAACAAATTCTCTTGGTATCATCTAGTGAGATCACAGCCTGTCAGTTTGTACTCTGCACCTACTAGGCAAGTAAAACTTTGCTTGGAGGGGGAGGAGGGAGAAACAGGGAGAGGAAGAACTAGAGTCAAAATAAGGGGGGAGGGGTGTGCAATTGTATGGGGAAAATAACCAAAATGAAAATGCGTACATTGTGCAAAGATGAAAAATGATGTA